GCCGCGGACTTTCCCTCCCCCGGCGCGCGTCGGCTGGACTGTGGGCTCGCGGGCCCGCGGTGACGAGCCGCTGGGTCCCGGCCCCCGGATTGTGATGTCTCCGGAGGCGGTGGGCGGGTGACGCAGCCCGGGCCCCAGGACCCGGTCCCTGCGGCTGACCCTGCCCCCAGCAGCTCGCTCCTGTCGCGGGTACGACCCCCTCCCAACCACGGCCCCCCTGCCACCCTTCAGGAAGGCGCTCCCTTCGGAGGGGTAGTGCCCGAGGCCTGCCCCTGGCCCCTGGAGGCCTGGGTGGGGCAAGCTCAAGTGTGATCAGAGGTGGGTGTGGAACTCCTAAGTGGGGCCCGTGGGGAGGACCTTTTTCCTTGGTTTGGATGTTAGAAGCCATTTCGTGGTTCTCTTGTGACCCCGAGTTCTGGGCAGAGCTAGAAACAGCACCACTCGGGGGGCTGGTTCCCCACCAGGTCCAGACCCCCAACTCCCTAGGTGTCCTAGGGTGGCGACAGGCAAGGACAGGTCTTTAGGCACCTTCCATGCAACTCTTTGGAAGCCCTGGGCCTAGTTGTAGGCTCACAACTCCGGTGACCCTGGGAAGAGGGGTGCCCGGAGACGTGGGAGCAGCCTACGTGGAGAAAAGACTGCAGACCTGTGCTGCAGGTCCCCACTACCTGCCGAGAGCTCCAGGAGGCATTTGTCGCCTTCTGGACACCTGAAGCCATACAGAGAATGGCTTTCAATGTGACTCATCCGGAGAGGGTACAGTGGCCGGGATGTGCAGAGCTAGGGGGTCACTCAAGGAGTGAGTACTTGCAGAGACCAGGAGGTATAAGGTCACCTTAGGGTCGTCCACCCTAGGGCAGAGGAGACAGTGGGAATTGCTGATCAAAATGAGCTCTAGAAAGGGGATAGCCACCTTGGCAGAGGCCGAGATCAGCACAGGTCGCTAAGTACTGACCTGGGAGCTAGGGCTGATGGAGCAGAGCCCCTGGGGCCAGTGCAGGAGTGGGTTTGGGTGGCCACTGCCTTGACCGGTAATAGCATGGTCATTTCGCCCTTGGGGAGCAGGACTACTTCTGTCTCACGCAAGGCCAGGGCTGGCAGTGGTCAGGCATCACTTAATTGGCCCCGTCTGCTCAACATCTCCCTGCTTTTAGACTCATGACTGTTGTGTCAGTTTTTTCTTCCGTAATTGCAGTGGGCCGAAGTTGCCCAGGAAGTCCTTCTCTTCGTGAAGCCTAGAGCTGAGTCAGCTTCCTATCCATAGAGGTTGGGAGGCAGAGAACATGGCCTAGGATATGCGTGCTGTGGGCTGGGCACAGCCACAGGATAGGCCACACCATGACACGGGTGTCGCTGCCTGTGCCAAGGCGTTGTCCAGGCCGTGACTGACAGCCCCTGAGCAGGGAGGGCCAATGTCCCTTCTGATTGACCACCTAGAAAGAATGTCAGGTGGTTTTCAGAATGGCAGTCATGAGGGTGGCCCCCAGTATGTACTTTGGTATTCACTGAGCTGTGGGGCACACCAGCTCCTGCTGCTGCTGCCTTGCCCACCAGTTCTGGCTTCCCATCTGATTTGGTGACAGAGGCTGCAGATCCCGGCTACGCTGGAGCTACAGTTTGGATGTGGTTGAGCTCCTAAGGTTGATAGGTTCTAAGTTGGGTCCCCTGGGTGATGACAGGGGAGACTGTGGGTCACTCAAAAGGCCAGGCCTCCCGGACCGTATTTGTGTCTGCTTGGATATTCCCCCTTGGGATGCTGGCTATCCTTGCAAGAGTGCATCGGCACATAAAGACCACACACCACTGATTCCACCCTGGTTTCCTGGCTCACGACTGTTGTGTCCTATTACATGTGTTCCCATGGGGATGCCTGCCACTGTGATGTAACGTGGCCAGGAGGCCTTTGCCAGCACTGGTGCTATGTCATTTGGAGGTTAAACCTCAAAATAAGCCTCTTTATAAGTTACTCAGTTTTTGATGCTTGCTTGTAGTCACAGAAAATAGCCTAAGACATCAGGTCATCTCCAGGTTTCTTCTTGACACATGCCCCTGGAATGCCTTTCTTCCCACACTCCACCTATACCTAGCTTGTCCCCTCTCTGTCACAACCACCTCAGGAGAACTTCTCCGACAAAACCCCTGGGCCACCCAAACACCTCCCAGGACCAATACCGTGGTGTTAGGTACAATCTCGTAAGACTCGCAGACCCTGTAGTCCTGGGTCCACGTTGTACTGTTTCCTCATAAACTGTAAAAGGCCCCGAGAACAAGGTTGTGCCTCACGCATCTCCCCATCTGTGTGCAGTATAGCCTGGCGCAGAGCAATGCCTCATACTAAACAAATGCATGAACGAATTATTCGAATTGTAGACCTGAACTTAGAGAGCAGAGATCCAAATGAGCACCGGGCTGACCCTTTTGTCTTGGGGCCCGTAAACATCTAGGGAAGTGGTCAAGAAATGCTTGCTATGCGCAAGGCGCTCGCCCTTGGGGGTGAAGGCAAATGCCAGGTTCCCTGCATCTCTCTCCTGCGTGCACAGCCTTTGGGGGTGGGGCTGTGTGACTAAAGGGACTCTGGAATCTGGCCTCTTTGTGGATGAAGTGTTCTTTGTCTTTTGAGGGGAAAGAGAAGTAATCTGCCGGAAAGTGTCACTTCACGGGGCTTTCCAGACACCCGGACACCGGCCTTGCAAAGTTGCCTGGTCCTTCTAGAATCCTTGACGTTGTTTAAATCTGATTTCTGCTGAGAGAAAGGACTTAGAGTGACAGACTGAACTGTAACCTCAGGGCACACGTGAATCCAACACCCCTCCTGAGGAAGGGCTTCAGAAACTGTCCCAGCCATCCCCCTGCCTCTTGAACAAGACTGATGCATTCAGGCAGGAAGTCCAGAGAGAGGTTTACATCTCTGCCTCCCAAGCCCACGGTGGGACTAGGAGCCACTGAAGATAACTCCAGAGTCCCCCCCAGCCACCCTCTGCAAGACGGTGACACTGCCACTGGACAGAGCCCTAGCCGTGAGGCCAGCAGGCTGGGCTCGGCCTTCAATGGGACTAAACTATTTATTTTATTTTGCTTGTAATACTGGAGATTTTGCGATATCAGGATCCTGCGCTTGCCAGGCAGGCACTTATCCTACTGAGCTATCTCCCTGGCCCTGCTGAACTTTTTTATACGCCCCCCCACACACACACACATACACAAGATTGGCAAAAAAGGCTATCCAGCTTTGCCTTCTGCTTCTCAGTACCTGCGCTGTGACCAGACTGGTGCTTAGCTGTGTGGTGATAGTCATGCACATTAGGCACGTTTAGATGACACTTTTTAAGTATTATTTCCATTAAAATAATAGCACTCATAAGCACATAAATATCATTAGGAGTTTTAAATGATGCCCAGTTGTGAAGTTATGATGGCGGCCAGTTGATAGTGCACGCCTATTATTCTAGCACTCAGGTGGCTGAGGCAGGAAGATCTTGGTGAGCTCAAAGCCAGCCTGAACTATATAACGAGATGCTGCCTTGAAAAACAAGCCTTCTATTGCACCTAGCTAGATTGGCCAGCAATCATTCGTGAGAACATCTGGGCAGAATGCTGTGCATTGTGATGTCACTAGGCTGCACTGTGACATAGAGACTCCTGACATAGAGACGCCTCTTTGACTCATTCAACAAACACCAATTGCCTACCCATTTGCAGCCTGACTGTGCTCTGTGCTGTGGCCTGGGCCCCAAGAGGCCTTGAACAGAGGGCCCTTGTCCTTTAGTCCTGGTGTGGAAAGCAGCGTGAGGCTGGTTGTGGGGAGCTGTGTGAACCTCCGTGACAGGAGAGAGGACAGCGTGGCCGGGCTCCCGACCGTTCAGCTCGAGGTGCAGGAGCTGGGCTGGCCAAGGGACTTTGCAGCACCTGTACCCTTGTGCTTCCGGTGCACACTTCTGTGTCCCACCCAATGTCACTCAGCTTTCTGCTGCTGTTACAAATATCTGAGATACCTTAGAGAGAGAACAAGTTTATTTTGGCTCATGGTATTATTACTATTACTGTAGTTGATTTTACCAAGACAGAGCCTCTCTAGGTAGTTCAGGCCAGCCTCTAACTCATTAAACACCCCATGCTGGCCTGAAACTCACCATATTCCTCCTGCCTCAGCCTCCTAAGTTCTGAGATGACAGGCATGCACCAGCCATTGTGCCTAGCTGTGATGGAGGCAAGACCGTGACTGTTAGCCCCGCTGCTGTGACAGGCACGTGTGGCAGAGCACAGCCAGTCAGCCCTGGGCTGGGACATTGGGCAGAGAGCCCCATCGCTCCTTTGGGAACAGGCCCGCCCCATGCAGTTGACAGCCCTTGCCCTAGACCTCCCCTAGCAAAGGCCCCACAGCCTCCCAATAGTGCCACCTTGGGCACCGAGCGTTTGCCACATGAGTGTGGGAGGGATCCCCCAAGCTCCAAACCAGAGCACCTGCTTTGCTCCACCCCAACCCAGAGATGCCTTGGAAGCTGAGTTGTTGAACTTGCCCTGTAGAGCAGGTATTTAACCGATGTCCATTGCAGGCACAAATAAATGAAGTCCATTTGTACTTTGCTGATGCCAACCTCCTGATTCCAGGCACCCTGGGCTCCCAGAGGCCATCGGGGCTCAGCCTGACTGCTGACTTCTTTTTCTGCTAACCTTTACTCCTCCACCACCTTCCTTTGGGGCCCTGTGGGACATCGGCGAAAGGCTGAGATGCCCAAGAACCATCACAGGACAGAGGCTT